AAAATGGTAAATGATAAATGCATACGCAAATCTGTACGCAAATGAACGAAGAGAACAGGTTCGATGCTCACTTCAAAGCAGACTTCAAAGGGTGCAATCCTTGTTCGATGTTTCCGTTTTAGTTGTGGGGTGTCGCGCAGTAAGTTACAGACAGTAATAAATATCACGGATTCCCATCGCCCAAAATGCGCGCAGAACTTGCGCGAAAGAAGCTGGAAGACCGAATTGCGTAGGCAGCCGACCTCCTTACACCCATATCTATGATACAATGAAGGGACCTAGGTAATGAAAGCAAAAAAACGCCCTTATCCGGGCGTATGGCCACTATGTCATATTGGGTGAATGCCAACCGTGTTCCTTTTCTGCGAGTCCATTTGGGTGAGGACGGAGCTGTCGGCGCGGTACTGGATAATATAGTTCCAGAGGAGTAAGAGTACTGCATAAAGAGAAGGGTGATGGATGGTAAGAAAGACCATTTTGCGGAATACTAGTAGTTTCTCGATTTTGACAATCCTCAACGGCAACCGAAACAATGGGAAATCAATCTTACCGGACGCGACAATCAACATCATATTCCAAAAATACCCCGCCACATCCCCCAGCGCCCCAATCTCTCCAATCCCCGGCTGCGCATTCCTCACATTCGGTATAGCAAACAACATTGCAACCGAAAACGCGATCGTAGGCGGCTCAACCTTCCTCTTCCTCACCCAAACCCCAACCGCCAACGTGAACAAACTCAACGATAAGAGCCACATGATGATGATGACGACGATGGAGTACCCGATGACCAGGCGAGATCGTTTGATATTAATTCTGGCGACGAGGGCTGAGTTGCTGTTGGGGTTGTAAGTGAAGTTTGTGCGGAAGCTGAAGAGTGGGAGGGCGGAGAATGTTAGGGCAGCGATCGGGATGCGGTAGAAGGTGTTGTTGATGGTTGTGCTCGCCGCCATAAAGAATTCGGTTCTGTCTGAGTATCATTGCAGTTGCGAGGAGAAGAGTGTGCGTGAGTGTCTCATCATCAATCCAACAGATGTTGAACTCCTACTCAGTACCCACAATCATCAACAGGATAGTTCATCGGCATTCCCTCCAAGATCGGTATGGGGATTTCCTGTCGCGAAAGTAAAGCACTTTCTTGGAATAAGTTTTCTTTATCTCCCAAGGTAAGGTTGAAGGGGAAGGGTGCCCTTGTATCAACAAAGTCGTTTTCGTTGAATTCTTGACCGGAAATAATCTTTACGATTCCGAATACTGTGAGGACGTATGCGGATGCGGCAATCTGACGGGGAAGAATCAGATGGGAGTTTGAGAAACTGTGAATAATTCCGATGGACCCTCTTCGTCAACCGCTTGGAAGGATCAGAGCATTAAAGAGTCTGGCATCCTTCCCAGGGGAACCATAGATTCTTTTCCTCCCCACCTTTATATTATACGCCCTCGAATCCACCGCCGAAACATAATAATGAATCAAAAACGCAATATCTCCAGGCTGATTCTCCTGCGTAAGCGCCCTCCACTGGTCCACAGTGACAGAAGGCGTCAGAGCAGTACTTTTCCTTTCGCCATCTTTCTTGTGGACGACTATAGAAATGCCAACGGCGATGACGAGGACTGTTGCGACGAGCACGGCGACGAGCAGACCTGTTCGGGCGAGGCTGTTGAGTCTAAGGAGCATGGTGGGGGGAGCTCAGCGGTGATTGCTTCCAGGCGACAAATGAACAGGAAACAATGCGACGACGTGAACGTAAGCGGAGACCAAGTTTGCCAGTCGCCTTTCTGTTGCAGAGAGTGATGCGTTTTCATTGCCGGGTTATAACCCAGGTAATATCCAGGTGATATCCAGGGCGCTGAGTAGGGCGACAGGAGGTGGGCAGGGGGATCATTTGTGCTGATGTGCGAAGGCTGGCGCGAAATGAAGAAGACCAGCGAGTAGTGCCGCATGTCGCCGAGTGTACCTTATCGAAGGGAGAAATAATCGATGGGGTCTAAAACGCAAATGCGCCAACACCCTTGCGGCTGGAAGTGCTGTGTTACAGCGCCCGCTCCCAGACTGCTAGATTGTAAGATGAACGTCTGGAAGATGAACGCCTAACGCTGGAGTCAGCGCTTTCGCTCCTTCGCGCTTGCTATGAAACGTCCACCACTACCTTCCCAAAGTCTCACTCAGTTTTACTTATTAGCGCATGCACCTAAGCTGATCTGGAAATCTTCAGACACGAAAGCATTCCTGACTCCTGATTTATGACGTTCGCCAAGTTCGTCCTGGAGTTTGCCGCAAACCTTGCAAACTACCCTACCAGCTTGCCTACCAAACAGCTTGCTAACCACCTTGTCCACACTAACTGGGACCAGCGGGCACTCAGATTACCAAAATGGCGCTTCCCAATTCTTGTCCAACTCGGACTTATTCAGACTCCGACTCAGACTCCGACTGCCCAATTTTTTTTCTGATTTGCTTCCCACAGCGCCTGGAACATCTCAGCGACGACTTCCCCCTGTTTTCCCTTTCCACTCAGCGTAAGCCCTGACTTCAGGGGTATGGAAGTCAAACTTCGATATCTTCACGGCGACGATCCACAGATCCGGTCTCATCCGCGAGCCAATACAGTAATATGGTGTTCACATCTAATCAGTAGCCCCAACATTATTATACTGTAAACCTACAGGAAACAACAGGGATGCAACAGGGGGAGATCAGAGAGATCAGGGGCAAGATCGGTGCAACTTGAAGACACCTGGGTGCAAGACAGGTGCAAGAGGTGTATTTCAGTTTGGGGTGCGGAGGGAGTCTCTGTTCTGCGCCGCAGCAGTCTCGCAGCAGGCTCCACAGTTCAAGCATCTGAACCCATGCGCTTTCTGACGACTCGGACGCATTGGTTTTTGCGAGTTTCGATCTCGTCCCCAATTACAATATTTGTTGTGAGTGGAAGAACCCAGAACCTTGAAGGAGAGGCCGGAACCCGGGCCAGCACACGCAGGAGAAAGGTGATGCCTCTTTCAAGTTTTCTATGGGTCCGGGTTGGTGCCCTCAGGAACGTTGACGGTGTGGGGAGGGAGGGAGGGGCGTAAAGAAGAGAGTAACCGCTGGCGCGCTACAAAGAAAGGCAAGTCTACGTTAGAGAAGAAGAAAAAAACGATGGACTTGAATTACAAAAGGGATCTGTAGTGCATGAGGATGACTGCAAGAGGAAATGCAGGGCACACACACCTCGCTCGCGCTCTTTGCTTCGATGCCTGGGGCGCTCAGTGCCCAAAAAACAAACTACGCTGGCTGACGATGTTCCACCATACTGTTATCCAGACTGTTATCTTGAGTCCGTATCAGAGTCCGTATCGCAAACACAGATCGCAAACAACTCCAACACCCACCCCCACCTCTTGACCGGTCTTCGAAGACGCGTCAGTTACAACACCAGCTAGAGATGATCTCCATTCTCGAGCGATTTACTCCACACTCTGCAAACTGCCTTCATTGAGACTCCAGACCAACTAGACCACTGAGCACAGATACGTGGCTCTACAAGTGCATTCACTACCTCTACAAATGCATTCACTACCTGTGCATTTGACTCTTGCGTTGAATCTTGAGTTGAAACCTGAGTTGAAACTACTGGTATCTGTTTGACAAATAGGCCATGAAGACCGAGTCCAAGCCTGTATCCCTCATTTGTGCACTGTATCCCATGCCTATGTTGCTTGTTTCACAACCTGGAGCTACTTCAGAGCGTTCCTGGTCTTTCCTCCCAACTACATACAGAACTACCTTATACCATCCTGCTTCTGACCGGCACCAGTCGCGTAAATCTTCCCATCCCTCCCCTCCTCAGCCTCCCATCTCATCAATCTAATTTACCGAAGTGAAAGAAGTTCAGTCATGCAAGACCGCTCCACCTCGTCAGTAACCTCGAGCAACCTTGAAAAGACCGTAGCAATCCCCATGTCCCGTTCCCTCATTACCTGAAGGGTTACAACGAGTTTCGAAGAGACCGCACTCAAGGCACTCTTTACGGAAATCAGCATTAGGCTGGCGAAATATAACCTGCCCTTAGCGTCGTTGACACCAGCAGATTTGACGTTTTTGCTACCGCGTCCACAAGCCCTGTCCTCGTCCCAAGCCGCTCCAGTCCATCCGCCGACCAAGGAAGATGAACGCTGTGGAAAAGGAGAAGCACGCGACTCAATCGAGTTCCTCATTGAGCTCATGCGGGGGTCGATGTTGGTCTCCGACGACAAGATGATCTCAGCACTACAACTGATCCGCGACGGTCCGCGCTCCCCGCTACAAACAGTCATGATCATGCCAGTAATAGACGGTGCGATAGTGAAGGGTTTGGTGCTCTTTTATGTGCGGACGTGGGAGTTTGGCGTCAGTGTCCTCAGGAAAATCCTGGACATCTGGGAAGAGGAAGACGTCATTCCTCGAAAGGCGGCACGTTGGCTGACGCGGGTCCTGATCCAGGAGGTTCGTTCTCGCCAGAAGCCCACCACCAATGATGATGAACAGGCGGTTAACATTGATGCTGATGGTGATGATGGTGTCGCTGGTGCTGATGGTACCCCTGTTGCTGATGGCGTCGCTGTTGCTAATGGTGATGCCGGTGCTGATGGTGCTGCTGTTGTCGATGGTGCTGCTACCAACAACGCTGCTGTTGCCGCTGGTGCTGATGGTGCCGCCATTGCCGGGGGTGCCACTCTTGCCAACGATGCTGATGAAGGCAATCAACAAGAGGAAGGGGTTGTGCACACCTCTCACTCCAAACTCAAAACAACAGAAGGGGAGTGAGGGGCGCCGAAGGCGTCCCGAATTCCTCTTTTTGTTGTGTTGTGAGACATGGGCAAGGTAGTAGTCCTCGAAGGTCGAGTGGCTTCATCATCATCATCATCCATTGCCCAAGAACAAGAACAACAACAAGAACAGAACCGTTCCTCGTCAAACACACGATAGTCGCAAAAACATAATTAGGGACAAATTACAACAAGAACAAACAACAACAGAGGCTCCTGTAGCAAAGTGGTTAATGCGTCGTGCTTATATGGGTGTACCCGTACGCAACGCGAAGGTCGCGAGTTCGATCCTCGCCAGGAGCACTTTTGTAAATTGTACTTGTTTCGACATTTTTTCGATATTCAAGTGGAGATTATGTGTTTATTTCTTGTAACACTGATGCAGTCTGAGTTCAAGATCTTGTCAGTTTCACTGTTTTCGAAATTCAAGTGGAGATTATGTGTTTGTTTCTGTAACATTGATGATGCAGTCTGAGTTCAGATATTAAATGCAGCTTACTTTTGATTCATAAGCCACACACCCCTCGCTTCACTACTGCACACCGAGTTTACACGCTTCTGCGATCCCATCTTCGCCGTAACGGACGATTTTCGACATTAAAAAGTTGAGTTTCACGTTTTTAAGAGGCGCCTTTCACCATGCGCACCTATTTTACATATCAGCTGCCCCTGAACGCCCATATACCACCAGAAGATCTGAAATTTGGGGTTTCCTTTGTTGAAACCGGTTTTATCCACACCGAGAAATTCGCAGCTCAACAGCTATTTATGAGGTTGGAGAACCGGTTTGGTTGTTTTCACAAAGACATCTTGGTGTGCTCTTGTCACGGAGAACTTTGATAAGGTTCAGGATGTTTGGACATTCTCAAAACTCACCGAATGAAGAAGAACGACTCGGAGGTGCCGAGTGTATTAAAGTGTATTACTGGCGGAGTTTGAAATTTCGCAACACACTAACAAATCTGAAAAATTTTACGGAGATCTTCTTCAGAGGCAGTCTCTGAGGAGGAATGAACGCAGAGTCCTTTCTAAAATGAGACGCGGTTTCGCGACCGCTTCCACATTTCTTTCTTTCTTTTGGATTCCGTTTGCTCGCAGTTGGGACTCGGACAGGCAGAAAACATCAACCTTGGAACGCTGATTCAAACAATGATGTCCAAGGTAGATGTCCAAGTTCCGCTGGCTGAAATCTGGTTAAAACCTGGGTTGAAACGGTCGGGCGAGAGGGCTAGGGATCGTGTGAAGTCAGGGAAACAGGGAATACTTGCAGTGCTTCAAGTGTCAAGCATCGTGGCGGCGGCGAGATCTGTGAACTGGTAACATTCAAGTCCAAGCCTTCCAAAAAGGCTGGACAGGTCGTCTGTGAGGAATCTTCAAACATTTCCATGGATGGATGGATGGAGACTGTGGAGGAGGCCAGTTCTCATTTGAATGCAGTTCTCTCACGTAGATGACTGACTTGCCACATTCGAAAACCGAACAAAACAGTTCTTCGACATATTTTCTTGAAATTGGAAAAACAAACTAAAACAAAGAAAAACCAATGCAAAAAAAAGTGATGCGACCATGAAGTATCCATCTCCTAAATCCCAAGACACAAAAAAGTACTTGAGCAACGTTCCACGCTCCCCCCTCCCTCCTCACAGGCCCTACTCTTTGTTTGTAATTACTACATCTCGGTGAATCCTGCGAACAAAAAAGCGATCAAGGTATCCTCACAACAAACGAAAACGTCTCGTCCAATCTGTCACTTTTCTACCAAACAAAATAGCGAATTTGTGATTTTACGAGGAAGCAACACCAGCTGCTGCTGCCGCAGCCTGAGCTTGAGCGCTGCTGGCTCCAGTCTTTGCCGCCGTGCGCTGGTAGTATTCCGCAAGAACCTTCTGGGGAATACGGTTGAGCATCTCCTTCGGGAAGATACGCAACAAGGACCAGGCGAGGTCAAGGGATTCAAAGATGGTACGGCCTTCGTAGTAACCTGGTGTGGTATCAGATTCGTTGCGGAAGAAACAAGAAAAGGAGGAAATGATAATTGAGACCATTGACAAAAAAAAAACGTGAACAGAACGGTATGGGAACCCGATGGTAAACACGCAAGCGTTCCAGAGTTACAACACATACCCTGCGAAACAAATGTCTTTTCGAACTTTTCCAAGAATTCGAGCGAGAGCTTGTCTTCCTGGTTCAAAGCTTCTTCACCGACGACGGCTTTCATAGCGGCGGCGTCACGACCAATGGCGTATTTTGCGTACTTTTGACGACATTTGTAAACAAGGAAAAAGAAAAACAACGATGTGAGCAAACATGCATAAATCATGATCCTCGGGAGCGAACGGAAAGGTGTAATCCAGCACACCCCTTTGCGCATCCCCTTTTCCAGCCTTCCATCACGTAGGCAGCGCAGCGAGCACAGATTCACGTGCACATTCCCAGTAGTGGAGCAGTGACTTACCAATTGGTTGGAAACATCACCGTGGTCTTTCCTCGTCAGCTTCTCACCGATGGCACTCTTCATCAACCGAGACAAGGACGGAAGGACGTTGATCGGCGGGTAGATCTGAAGACGCATAGAGCCAAGAGTAGGAAGAAACGGTCATGACGGTGGATTTTGAAAGAGAAACAGTCAGCAATTATTCAAAGGAACAAGGGTGTTAATGGTTTGTGATCGAATGGAGCTCGATCCACTTCCTTGACACCAATGACAGGGCAAAAGTTGGCACAGTGAGTGAGTCTCAAAATACCTGTCGGTTGTGAAGCTGCCGGTCGACAAAGATCTGCCCCTCAGTAATGTACCCCGTCAAATCCGGAATCGGGTGCGTAATATCTAATAGACAATGGAGATTTCCATCGAATGAAAATTCAGCGGTTACGTAATTTACAAACACAAGAAACGAGAGCGACAAATCAAATCTCATCAACTTGTTTGCCTTTGAGCTCCACGCATCCCAACCCTTGTTGTGGCTCCCTATCAACCCTTACCGTCGTTCGGCATCGTCAGAATGGGGAATTGCGTGATGGACCCGTTACGCCCAGCGACACGACCAGCACGTTCATAAATAGTGGACAAATCCGTGTACATGTAACCGGGGTAACCACGACGACCGGGGACTTCTTCACGGGCAGCGGAAATCTTTCATAGAATTAAACGAGAAACCAGCGCTTGAGCATCATTGTTGTACATATGAAAACAGAATCCGCCTCAACTTCGACGTGGATTTTTCGTTGGTCATATCCTCCATATTTTAACTTACCTCACGCAAAGCATCAGCGTACGAACTCATATCGGTCAAAATGACGAGCACGTGCTTCTCAAGTTGGTATGCATAGTATTCGGCTGTGGTGAGCGCGATACGTGGTGTGATGATACGTTCGTTTCTGGTTTGAGAGAGGGCAGACAAGCGGAATCACAGTTAATGTCTGATCCGAAATTACGTTCGATTCGTCAAAAGAAAACAAACGCCAGCAAGAGACTGAACCACAGAAGGTCGACAAGAACAGAAAATCGGCTCACGTTGGATCATTTGCAAGGTTCAAGAACAGTGTGACTCTCTCGATAGCACCGTTCTCCTCAAAGTCCTGCTTGAAGAACCGCGCCGTTTCCATGTTGACACCCATGGCACCAAAGACAATGGCAAAGTTGTCCTCGTGGTCATCCAAGACACCCTTGTCCACCTTCTTGACCAAACCGGCTTGTCGACAAATTTGGGCGGCGATCTGTCAAATAAAAGATGGTGAGTACCGGGTAAAAAAGGAATTTTTTTGAACGTATTACAGTTCTTCAAGAACTTTTGTTCCATCCCAACGAGAAAGCAAAGACCCGAGTAAAACATACTTCGTTGTGTGGGAGACCAGCGGCAGAGAATAAGGGGATCTTTTGTCCACGAGCGACCGAGTTCATGGTGTCGATAGCCGAAATACCGGTTTGGATCATTTCCTCAGGGTAGATTCGCGAGAAGGGGTTGATAGGTTGACCTATTTTGATGTTCATGTGCGGCAAAAAGGAGTTGGTTGCCAGGAACGGAAAGAGGAGCATGACAAGCAACAAACCACACCATCACCGGAAGCAGTTTTTCCAGCAAATTCTTGAATCCCGCGCTTGATATGAAGACATACCTTGGACATCCAGATAATCCTCAGCGAACACCTTAGGACCCTTGTCGATGGCTTTTCCGGAACCGTTAAACACACGACCCAACATATCCTCGGAGACGGGTACCTTGAGCGTGTCACCGGTGAATTCAATGCTAGTTGCCTTGACATCGATACCGGTTGTACCTTCGAAGACCTATTGTGAAAGGTGTCCAAAAATCGAGGTTTGTAAAGCATTGTAAAACAATACCTGGGAAAAACGAACGGAAAATGGCATCCTTCGATCAACACGATCTCATGAAGTTCGGTCTGGACTACACACCTGGACAATAGCTTTTTTGCCTTGGACTTCAAGCACCTGACCTGTCCGTTTCGATCCGTCTGGCAACGTGAGGGATACGATTTCGGCATATTTGGCGAACTAGATATGGTTCCGATCGTGTGTGCGTCGCCCATGTCCATCATTGTTAGAGCAGAGGTACGTGAGTATGTTTGCTCCTCAATTAAATTCGTGTCAAGCTCAGAAGCTATCACCGCCCTTCATTCCCTCTCCTTCGAAAATCAGCCACAGAAACAAAACTGCTAAACAAAACCGAAAACCAACAGATGGAAACGACGTATCCCCAAAGACGAAGAAATCAGTGGGGATTGGCGGTCAGATTTCAAGTTTCCACATACCTTCACATTGTCCAAGATAACTAAAGGACCGTTTACACCTTGCACAGTGCGGTAGTCTAGAAAGCGTTAGGAAGAGGAAGCAAAAGCAGATTACGTCAATCGCTTGTTCGTTGAGAAAGCTGTCCTCTACCTTAAAATATCGTTGACCACAGGCGCCCCTTTCTCTGTCTCAACCCGCTCAGTGTCCAACGACCGGTCTCCAAAGCAGCACACACCCTCCCCAGAACGTAAATCACTGTCTCTCCTCCTCAGACATCCCATCAATTAAAATCACAAACGAACCCCCACTGTTCTTCCCGACGCTCGTTCTCCTTTCCACCTAATCGCGCGTTTCTTCTCATTCCACTTCATTTCCCCCAATATCAAGTCACCATTGCCCCCTCCAACACATCAACAACCCCTCTCCCACTCACCCAAACGCGGAAAGACATTATAATCTCTCGTAACAGCCGCAGCGTGAATAGCAGCAGCCTCCTTCTCCGTGATGCGAGGGTCCGTGAACCCGTTAGTCACGCCGTGTGGGGACATGGTTA